GGCTACACAGAGAAACCCTGTCTCAAAACAAACAAACAAACAAACAAACCAAAACGACAAAACAAAACAGGGTTTCTTTGTGTAATCCCAGGTGTTTTGGTACTCTCTCTAGACCAGACTGGCCTTGAACTCTGAGATCCACCTGCCTCTACCTCCCAAGTGCCAGGATTAAAGGTGTGTTTTTGTAGAGTCTTGTCCCTTAAATGTGGGGACCCAGGTGAGCACCCCCCTAAGGAAGTCAGAACAGCCCCTGTCTCTTACAGGGTGGATCTGGGGCACTGAAAAGAAAATGGAAATGGTGAGGCTCATGACGTAATTAAGCTGCACACATTTGTCTTTGTTCGTGTGTGCAGGCGTGTACTTATGCAGCGTAAGTGGAGGGCGACTCAGAGCAGTTCTCTCCTTCCACTGTGTGAGTTAAAGGGATTGAACCCAGGTGGTCACGTTTGGCCACTAGCCCCTTTACCTGCTGAGCCATCCACTGGCCCCACAATGTAGTATTGCTTTTGGTGGTCAGAGGATGATGCCCAGGACATAGTGCATGCAGGACACATGCTGGACTGCTCTCAGCCTCTCCACCAGCAGTGGATTCTTGTTGTGTCACATTTGGTTGTTGTTATTCCTGTCTAACTCAGGTCCTGCTGACCCAGTACCATGTGGAACCAGGTTGGAAGATCTTTCCATAGCAACCATCTCAGCATCTTGTATTCACCTGGGGAAATGGAGGACCAGAGAGGTTAAGTTCATTGCCTGAGGTCACACAGAAAGTTCCAAGACGCACTGCCAGGTCTGTTGCATCAAGTCTGCCTCCCCTCAGGGACCTTGGTTTAGAGCAGATACTGATTGATTGGCTGATTGATGAACTGATTAAGACAGCATCTCACTGTGTGACTCAAACTGGCCTTGAACTTAAGGAGCTATCAGTGAAAGGCATGCATCTCTGTGCCTGGCTTGAACTTATTTTATTTTTGTTTATTATTGTTAAGGTGTTTTTATAAGGATATATGTAGCACATGTGGAGGTCAGGACAGCTTTTTCGGTCAGTTCTCTCCTTCCGTTACGTGGGTATCAGGGAGAGAACTCAGGTTGCCAGGCTTGGCAGCAAGCCCCTTTTACCCTTGAGCCGTCTCCTGAGACAGGATCTTATGTAGTCTAGCTGTCCTTCAGTTCCTTATGTTTCTGAAGATAACGTTGATTTCCTGATCTTCCCGCCTCCCTCTGAAGTGCTCCCCTAACGGTATACCTCAGGGTAGCTTCTCAGACTATTGGAAGATTATTAAAGGAGAAAGTGCCTGTCGGTGCCTCCCACTCTAGCAGTCAGGAGGCAGGGTAGGGAGGCCTATAAGACCAGCTCAAGCTAGACAGATGGACCGTGTGAGCCTCACTGACCTTCCAGAAACAAGATAGGAGGCTCAGTCTGTTGGTACTGTTGTACCTATGTAGTTCCAGTTGCTTGGAACGCTGAGGCAGGTGGATTGCTTGAATGTAGGTATTGAAGACCAGTCTGGGAAAAGTATAGTAAGATCTTGTCCAAGTGTTTCTTCAAACTAAATAAATATTTCCCAGGAGGTAGGTGACACATATCTCTTTATTTCTTCCTTCCTTCTTTTCTTCTTTCTTTCTTTTTGTTTTTTTGAGACAGGGTTTCTTTGTATAACCCTAGATGTCATGGAACTTGCTCTTTAGACCAGGCTGGCCTGGAATCTCAGAGATCTGCCTGCCTCTGCCTCCCAACTGAGAATTGTTTCTAAAAAAGGAAAACAAATAGGGCCAAGTTAGTTGACTCAGAGTCTGAGGTTGAGTATGTGCCACTCTGCTAGAGAACTGGAATTTGGTTCAAGTGGGTCATGACTCCCTGTGATGGCAGTTCTGTGGGAGTCAATGACGTCAGTGGATGCGAATGCGCGCACACACATCTTTAAGAAACAGTACAGTAGTGACTTGGAGGCAAGCCTGGGCTACATGAGACTGTCTTAAAAAACAAAATGAAACCAAAAATATAAGATGTGTTTGCGACCACTAAAAGGGGTGGCTGGTGGGTAAGTCTTCCTGCCTGTCCTCAGCCAGTACAGTGAATGGTGACGAGCATGCCTCTGTGTGGGCGGAGAACCACCTCAGAAGACAGCAAGGCAGATGGCACAGAAGCTCAGCCCCTGGTGCCCACAGGACGCTTGACGGTGCTGCTGCACTGGCCTGGGCCTGAGGGCGGGGAGCCCTGGGTCACCTTCAGCCAGGCCTCTCTGACTGCAGAGGAGGTCTGCATCCACATCGCACACAAAGTTGGTGAGTACACGGCCCCAGGGAGGGGCTGATGCTGTGTTTCACCATCGCTGGGCAAAAAGGAATGAGTGCAAAGGGCCAGCCTAAGTCAGGGCCAGTAGGGGCTGTTGTTCGGGGGTCGGGGGTGGCCAGAGAGCGCTGCAGAGCCAGGCCTGTGATCCCAGAACATGGGAAGCTGAGGCAGGAGGATCCTCACAAGTTCCAGGCCACACTAATGACACAAGAAGACACTGCCTAGAATTCCCCAGTGAAGGGGCTAGAGAGATGGTTCAGTGGTAGGAGCACTGGCTGCTCTCCCAGAGGACCTGGGTTCAATTCCCAGCACCTACATGGTAGTTCACAACTGTCTGTAACTCCAATTCCAGGGAGTCTGGCACTCTCACACAAACATACATGTAGGTAAAATACCAGTGCATATAAATAAGTCTTAAGAAGAAAAGAACCCCCAGCAATTTGACCCAGTGGTATAGCTGCCGCATCGAGTCCCCCAGTGAGGGGACAGGGTGTTTCCCAGTGTGTGCAAACTTCCAGTTTCCGTCCACTGTGTGTCCCCCAAAGTCAGTTCACTAACACCACGAGGCCACGCCTCCCTCCACAGCAGCAGCTGCTGCTGCTTCTTCTCTCCCTCTCTCTCCCTCTCTCTTTCTCTCTTTCTATTGGATATTTTACGTATTTATATTTCAAATGTTATCCCCTTTCCCACTTTCCTTTCCAGAACCCCTCTCTCCCATTCTCCCTCCCCCTGCTTCTATGAGGGTGTTCCCTCACCCACCCACTCCCGCCTCCCCAGCCTGCCATTCCCCTACACTGGGGCATTGAGCCTTCAAAGGACCAAGGGCCTCTCCTCCCATTGATATCAGATAAGGCCATCCCCTGCTACATATGAGACTGGAGCCATGGGTCCCTCCATGTGTACTCTTTGGTTGGTGGTTTAGTCCCTGGGAGCTCTGGGGGCTCTGGTTGGTTGATATTGTTTTTAGTTCAAAAAAAGAGGATTCACTTGTGGCTGTGCTGGCTGACGACAGGCAGGAATACTTCCCTCCTTGCCTCTCCATAGCTTCCTTGGTCCTAATAACATGTCAGTGTTACCACCCTTAAATTCCATTAACACATGACTTTTGTGATATCAGCTTGTGAACGTTGGGACATGGTCAAACCATCACAAGAAATGTGTAAGCAGCTGGACTGTGACATCTCTTACCACCTTTCTGTTGTGTTGACATCAACCACAGGGCCTGCAATTTATTGTAACTACGAGCTTTTCCAGTTATGTCCCAGTTCCCAAAATAACAATTCTGAGACTTATTTAGGAATAAATGCCTAGGCCATAAGTCGGGCTTGTTTCCTGCTTAGTTCATAATGTAATTAACCTGTTTATTCTATTCTATTAGTGCCACATGGCTGGTCACCTCTTCTCAGTTTCAAGCATCAGACTTCCTTAGAGTTCAGGGCAAATCTCTTCCTACCTCTGACTCTCCCAGAGTTCCTTTCTCTCAACCGGAACTCCCACCTATTACTTCCTGCCTTTTGCTAAGAGGCCATCAGCTTTTTATTGACAGATGGTGCTTCCACACAGTGCCCAAAAGATTCTCTCTACACCTCAGAGAAAATAGTCTCCATACTGGTCCAGAGTATGTGCTCTGTTTAAGGAACCAAAAGACCTTCAGGCTGACAAGGGTACTGGTTCTAAGAACTGGAAAAAGGAACTAAAAGTTGAAACTGAGGATTGAGATTGTCACTCGGCTGGTTGAACACTTGCCCAGCACTCAGAGAACCCTAGCTTATACCCCTAGCAGCACAAGAACCAGGCGCAATGAGGCACATCTGTCACCCCTGTACTCTGAGAAGTGTAGGCAGTGAGCTCAGGAAGAAATCCGTGGCTAGCCTCAGCTACATTTGACTTTGAGACCAGCCTGAGCTCTGGGAGCCCTGTGTCAAACAAGAGGAATTGAAAGCAAGCATCAGAGTGGAAGGCAGGCTGGGGCAACTCAGGACTGAAGGCAGCAGGGAGCCACGGAAGGCTTAAGCCAGAGAGTGAAGCACGTAAGAAAGCTGTTTTACAAGCGAGGTGCTGTATTTTATCAAGCCCTCAGTGAGTCTAACTTGTAGTAAGTTTGGAGAACAATTTGTGTTTCCCTGACAGGTTGAAACCTTTTGTTTTTATTATTTGTGTGTTGAAATAGAGTCTCTCTATGGAACCCTGGCTGGTCTGGAACTCAGAAATCCACCTGCCTCTGCCTTCTGAGTGCTAGGATGTTCCACTGTGTTCAAAACAAAAAACCTGTTTTGTTTTGTTTTTGAGCTAGAATTTCATATAGCTCAGGATGGTCTCCAGAGTTCTGGGATCACATGCCATTTAGTTCAATGTCCCATCCAAGCTGCAAGGAAACTGGGAAATGTAGTTCTGGGAAGCCTTGGCATGGTGGAAATGCTGAACTCCCTTGTGTGTTTATCAGCATTTGACAACTCCTGCATGGGAGGGGACCTGGGAAGGGAATGTGGGAGGAGTCAGTGGGTTGTAGGATCCTCAGGACCTGCAGATGACATGGCTTCTAACTTCCTCCCGTGTGCCAGGCATCACTCCCCCCTGCTTGAATCTCTTCGCACTCTATGATGCACAGGCCAAGGTCTGGCTGCCCCCAAACCACATTTTGGATACATCCCAAGACGTGAGCCTGAGGCTCTATTTTCGCATGAGGTGAGTAGAGAGTGTGTGTGAGAGAGTGTGTATTTGTGTGCTTGGGTGTGGTGTGTGTACATGTGTGTGTGCACACGCACCCATGTATCCATATACCACAGCACCAGTGTGGAAGGAAATCCAGTCGATCCACTGTGCCATGGTCTCTCAGATCAAGCACAGGTTGATCTTGGCAAGTACTTTTCCCTCCTGCTTCCTCCTGCCTCCATTCATCCTTTCCCTTCTTGCAGGTTTTACTTCCGGAACTGGCACGGCATGAATCCCCAGGAGCCAGCTGTATACCGATGTGGTTTCCCAGGGGCAGAGACTTCCTCAGACCGGGCAGAGCAAGGTGTACAGCTCTTGGACTCTGCCTCATTTGAATACCTTTTTGAGCAGGTATGAGCAGGGATGGGGAATTTAGGCCGTTTTAGGGCGACAAAGGGCTGGTAAGGACTCCCTTCCACCTCCATCTCCACCTCAGCTCTAGGTTTCAGCTCATCCATACCAGCTGGGATCTCTTAGCTCTCTTTACCAAAAGAACTTGGGGTGAATGTGTTCTAGGATTGATTAGTAATGTCTGCCATGGCCTTACCCTCCTGCAGAGGTGGTATGTGTGTCTTGGTCTTCTTAGGAAAATGCTTATCTCTTCCTTCCCCACAAGGTGCCTACAAGTAGGAAATTAGAGTTTGTTGACAACAGAGCAAAAACCTCCCCACACCTCTTTTTCTATCCATCCCTCTACCCCTCAGGGAAAGCATGAGTTCATGAACGATGTGGTGTCTCTGTGGGACCTGTCTAGTGAGGAAGAGATCCACCACTTTAAGAATGAGAGCCTGGGCATGGCCTTTCTGCACCTCTGCCACCTTGCTCTCTGCCGAGGTGTCCCCCTGGAGGAGATGGCCAGAGAGATCAGGTGACTGGAAATGGAGTGGGAACCAGGAGTAAGTGGGTGAGAGTCCCCGTGCCCTGGGGTCCCAGAGTGGACCTCTCATGTTGCCTTCATTCATCCAGCATGTATTGAGCACCTACTGTGTACGAGTTCTAAGTGTTAGGACAGAATCAGCTCTTCGAGTTCATGCTGTGAAGCAGATTGGTTCGTAAAGGAAGTACAAACCCCGAGGCTGAGACTGCACAGTAGATCTGACCTTTGCACAGGACCTGAGGTCAGGTCCAGTACTTCCATTGGGTGACTCACAACTGTCTATAGCTCCAGCTCCAGGGGCTGCAAACCCTTTTGACTTTCACTGACACCCATACACGTATGGTGTACACAGAAGTCAAAATAAGCAGTGTAGAGTCTTAATTAGAGAAAGAAATACAAATATTAAATGTAGAAAGACTAAGTAGGGAAGGAGGATTCTTGTTTGTTTCTCTGTGTAGCCCAGGCTGTCCTATAACTCTGTGTAGCCCAGGCTGGCCTCAGACTTACAGAGATCTGCCAAGTGCCAGGATTAAAGGTGTGTGCCACCACTGCTGGGCCTTACTCTGTTTAGTTTTTGTAAAGATTTGTTTATTTTATGTATGAGTGCTCTCTCCGCATGCACACCTACCTGTGTGCCAGAAGAGGGAATCAGATCACATTATAGATGGCTGTGAACCATGTATGGGTACAGGGAATTGAACTCAGGACCTTTGGAAGAGCAGCCATCTCTCCAGCCCCCTTATTGTATTTTAAAAACATTATTTCAAACTGAGTGTAGTGTTTATTCATTTCATGCATGATGTTCTATCTGCATGTATACTTGCATGCCAGAAGAGGGCGTGAGATTCCAGTACAGATGCTTGTGAGACACTATGGTTGATAGGAATTGAACTGAGGACCTCTGGAAGAATAGCCCATTTAACAGACCTCTTAACCACTAGCCATCTCTCTAGCCCCTTGTACACACATTGAATCCCAACTCCCAGGAGGCAGAGGCAGGTAGATCTCTGTGAGGTCAAGGTCAGCCTGGTCTACATAGTGAGTTATAGGACAATGAGGGTTACATAGAGACCCTGATTCAAAAAGAAAAGAAAGAATTAATCCCATAAAAGCCAATCCTACAGAAGTGGGGTTCCCTATCGGTGCAGACTTCTGGAAGGCACTGTGGGGGCTCAAGTCTTCAAATCCTAGGCAATTTCTGGAAGCTCAGGAAGGGTCTGTCTCTGGCCAAGCATGTGGTACAGACCTGTAATCACAGCAACCAGTACAGTATGCTGAGACAGGAGAATTACAAGTTGTAGGCTAGCCTGGGCTACAGTGTATATGACCTAGTCCCCCCAACCCCAAAATTAGCTAAGAGTAGTTGGTCAGTCCTGTAATTATAACACATGGGAGGTAGAGCCAGGAGGATCAGAAGTTCAAAGTCAGCGTCAGCTACATGGCAAGTTCAAGAGCGGTCTGGGCTACGTGAGACCTTACCCCCAAAACACAAGACAATAAATTAGGGAGAGATGTGCTGGTATGCACCTGTAGTTCTTACACCCAGCGCGTAGAACTAGGAAAATCTCTTCAAGTTCAAGGTCAGCCTAGACTACATAGTTAGTTTTAAGCTAGCCTGGGTTAAATTATATACTATAAAAACCAAGACAAAGAGCTAGAGAGATGACTGATTGCTTCTGAGCACTGGCTGCTCTTGCAGGGGACCTGCATGCACACACAGACAGAAAAATAGAAATGAAACTAAAAGCCTTGAGACGAAGTTTCACGGTTATAGAGTTTCACTATACAGTGCTGGGGTTAAGGGCAGAAGCCGTGGTACTTTGGATTGGGTTCTTCACTTCCACATTCATGACGTAGCCCTCATTGTCTGCATTAGGCAGCAGGGAGGCTAGGCCACTCGCCATGTCACCCAGCTTGTCTGGCTGCACTGGCTCCTGACCTGTTCCCCTTGTCACCTTTCCAGCTTCAAGAACTGCATCCCTCATTCCTTCCGCCAGCACATCCGCCAGCACAATGTGCTTACACGCCTGCGTCTCCGTAGAGTCTTCCGCCGCTTCCTGCGGGCTTTCCGGCCTGGCCACCTCTCCCAACAGGTTGTGATGGTTAAGTACTTGGCCACCTTGGAACGGCTGGCTCCTCGCTTTGGCTCAGAGCACATACCTGTGTGTCATCTGGAGGTCCTGGCCCAGCCTGAGAGGGACCCCTGCTACACCCAGAACAGTGGACAGACCACTGGCGACCCAGGCCCAGAGCTGGCTTCCGGGCCCCCCACCCATGAGGTACTGGTGACAGGCACCGGAGGTATCCAGTGGCGTCCACTGCAGACCCAGGTGAGCAGTCCCCATAGCCGTAGCCTCTCAGGACCACTGCCTTGTTTTGAGTTACCCTGCTTTCCACCTGGCTTTAGAGGCCTGTCAGTCTGTTTCTGTCCCTTTGATTTTTGTCCCTCCATTTATTTGTGGGAATGGGCACTGGTGTCCCCGAGTGTCCATGTAGACTGGAGAAGCTGGTTCCTCTCCTTCAAGCATGTGAGCTCTCCGGAGCTCACCCAGGTCATCCGGCCTTGGAGTCAAGCACCTTTACCTGCTGAGTCATCTCACTGGCCCTTGAGGGGTATTTATTTATTTATTTATTTGTTTATTGATTTTCTTGAAACAGGGTTTCTCTGTGTAGCCCTCGCTGTCCTGGAACTCCTGGCCTCAGACCCACAGAGATTGGCTGCCTCTGCCTCCCTGTGCTGAGATCAAAGACATGCGTATGCCACCACCGCCCAGCTGAGGGGTTTTTATTCTTGTCTTTTGAGTTAGGGTTTTATTCCACTGTCCCAGCTGACGGAATGCAGCTGTACTGTAGCCCAGGCTGAACCTGAACTCATGCCACTCCCCCTGCAGCCTTCCGAGTTTCGGAGCTAGAGGCTTGAGCCCAGTTTCCTTCTGTTCTTTGAAGAGAAATCAAACTATCCCTGCCCTGCTCTGTCTCTCCCCGCCCACACACACACACACACCCCTCCTGTCCCCTCTTTGGTGTTTAGGAATCTGAGAGAAGTAACAGCAGAGGGAATCCCCAAGGCAGCCGCTCTGGGAAGAAACCCAAGGCCCCTGAGGCTGGAGAGCACCCGGCAGAGAGTCCTCAGGAACCACATTGGACCTACTTCTGTGACTTCCAGGACATTTCCCACGTGGTGCTAAAGGAGCGTCGCGTGCACATCCACCTTCAAGACAACAAGTGCTTGGTGGGACCCCTGGCTGGTGGAGGAGGGCTGGGACGTGTCCTGCCGGGCTCCCTGACCATGTCCCCCTGGCCCCACAGTTGCTGTGCCTCTGTTCCCAGGCTGAGGCCCTGTCTTTTGTGGCCCTGGTCGATGGCTATTTCCGTTTGACTGCTGACTCCAGCCACTACCTGTGCCATGAGGTGGCACCCCCGAGGCTGGTGACTAGCATCCAGAACGGTATCCATGGGCCTCTGATGTGAGTGATGGTGGCCCGAGGATGCTAGGGGTTGGCACTGCAGGACGCTGAAGCTGGAATTCTAGGAGACAGTAACACATACACAGGGCACATGCACACGGGGCACATGCAGCCTACATAGTGTGTGTGTGTGTGTGCACCTGCGCACAACTACCTTTACACCTAGGTACTGCCTCCAGGCCAGTTAGCTGTGGCCACATCAGTGTGTCACTGTGTGTCTGGCTGTCTGGCCTCTGGATATGACACCTTTACCCCCCTTTTATTATTGCTGTTGCCACCTCTAGGATGTCAAGGCCCTTACACTAGGTCCTTTTTTGTTACTATAATAAAATACCTGAACCTGGATGGACACTTACGGAGAAAAGAGGTTAGCCGTGGTGGTGCACAGCTCAATCCAAGCAGCTCAGCTTGGACTGCATAGTGTAAGCCTACTCATAATTAAATTGTGAGGATTTTTTTAACATTTTAAATTGTGTGTGTGTGTGTGTGTGTGTGTGTCTGCGTACTTGAGTGCAGATGCCCACAGAGGCCAGGGGCATCAGACTGGCATGAGTACAGTGTCTTGCACACATATATTCTCACACATGCAGAGATGTAGTAACAAGAGTCTAGTCTGGGTCTGTAGCTCACTGTACCAAGCTGTAGTGCTTTCTTTTTTTTTTTTTTTTTTTTTTGGTTTTTTGAGACAGGGTTTCTCTGTGTAGCCCTGGCTGTCCTGGAACTCACTCTGTAGACCAGGCTGGCCTCGAACTCAGAAATCCACCTGCCTCTGCCTCCCAAGTGCTGGGATTAAAGGCATGCACCACCACCACCCAGCCCGCTGTAGTGCTTTCTAGCGTGCGAAGCCCTTGGTTCAATCCCCAGCACTGCATGAACTGGGCATGGTGGTGTATGTAGCTATTCCCAGCACATGGGTAGTGGGCACAGGATGACTTACAGGAGTCAGTTCTCTCCTACCATCTTGGTGCTGGGGATCAAACTAGGGTCATCACACTTGACAGCTAGCGCCTCTACCTACTGAGTCATCTTGCTGGCCTCTTGTTTTGTTTTGTTTTTGAGACTGTTTCATTTGGCCCAGATTAGGCTCCAGTGTAGCTGAGGGTGACCTTGAACTCCATATCTTCCTGCCTCTACCCCCGCATGCCAAGACTAGAGGCATGAGTCTTACCTTTTATTTTTTAAGTTTTGTTGTTGTAATTTTATGTGTACCATTTTTTGTTTGTTTTGTTTTGTTGCTTGTATATACGTCTGCACCACATGCATATCTGCTACCCACAATGGCTGGGAGCTACAGAACAGTTGTGAGGGCCCTTGTGGGTGCTGGGAATCAAACCGGTGTCCTCTGGAAGAGCAGCAAGTGACTGTCTCTGAGCTGTCTCTGCAGCCCAACATGTCTTATCCCTCTTCATGGAATGTAGGACATCACATGAGCCTCAGAGGGGACAAATCACGTTGAAATGGTGTCCCCACGTAGCCCTGTGACCTAGGGCGGTAAATGGCAACTGATCTGTATTTTGGGGACATGTGACTATCTCCCTACTGTAAATCACTCTGTCCCTTTGTGGCTGTGTCTGGGTGTGACCCATGTGACATCAGATAGCTGTTTTCCTGCCTCAGCGTCTGTCACATTGTCTGTGTCGGTGTTTGATGCTAGGCACGCTCATCCGACTCTATGGCAGCAGTCATATCTATGTATACAGATGTATGGACTTACTGTCAGTGGTTCTGATTTATTTATGCCATAGTGCATGTGGGGAAGTCAGCAGGCAACCTGCAGGAGGCAGGTCTCTCCTGTCACGTGGGTCCTGGATGCTGAACTCAGGTCATCAGGCTCTTAGCAAGTGCCTTCCCTCACTGAGCATCTTACAGGCTCTCTGAAGGTTTTGGTCTGTGTGTGTATGCACCCACATAAGGTGGCCAGAGGTTGGCCTTCATGTCTTCCTCAGTCATTCTCCATTGGTTTCTTTTTATTTTGTGTGTGTGTGTGTGTGTGTGTGATGTATGTATGTATGTATGTATGTATGTATGTATGTATCTGTGTGAGTGTATGCCACATGAATGCTGGTGCCTAAGGAGCCCAGAACAGGCATGGAACTCCCTGGAGGTGGAGTTATGGGTGGTTGTGAGGTACCTGATATGGGTGCTAAGAATCGAACTCTGGTCCTCTACAAGAACAGGAAGTGCTGTCTATTGTTGAGTAGCCTCTATAGCCCCTCCACCATATTTTTTGAGACAGGGACTCTCATTGGTTGGCCAGACTAGCTGAGCTGTAGCTTCAGGGTTGGGATTGCAGGTGCATGCTACCACTCCCAGACTCCCACGTGGGTGCTAGGTATCTGAACCCAGATCTAAGGTTCCCATCCACTCTACTTGTTTTTGAAACATAATCATATCATATAGCCCAGGCTGGACTTGAACTCTCAGTACTCCTGTGACCTCAGCTGACTGAGTGCTGGAGTTACACATGTGTAACTCTAGGCAGGTCTCCTGGGACATTGTCTGGCATGAGTCCCACAGTGACTACCAGAGGCTTGATGGTGCCCCCTGTCCTCCTCTTCCAGGGATCCATTTGTACAGGCCAAGCTGTGGCCAGAGGATGGCCTCTACCTGATTCAGTGGAGCACCAGCCACCTGCACCGCCTGATCCTTACTGTGGCCCATCGAAACCCGGTGGGCCTGGGGCCAGGGTGGAGGGCTAGGGACCCCGGTGCACCCTTCACAGGCAGGATCTGAGCCCTGCCTGCTCCCTGCTTACATCTGCTTTCCCATCTACCCAGGCTCCCAGTAAGGGCCCTAAGGGCCTGCGCCTCCGAAAATTTCCCATCACCCAGCAGCCTGGAGCCTTTGTGCTAGACGGCTGGGGCCGCTCCTTCGACAGCTTGGGGGACCTTCGGCTTGCCTTGCAGGGCTGCTCATTGCGGGCCGGTGATGACTGTTTCTCCTTGCACCATTGCTGCCTGCCCCGGCCCAGAGGTGAGGAGCAGAGTGAAAGGCACTGGGTAGGGAGGACTCTGTGTTCTGAAGCCAGCCCACAAGGGCAATGCCCACTTCTATGCCTAGAAATCTCCAACCTCGTCATCATGCGGGGATCTAGGGCCCACACCCGGCCGCTCAACCTCAGTCAGCTCAGCTTCCACAGGGTTCACCAGGATGAAATCACCCAGGTGTGTGTTCTGTGGCAGGGCATGCAGGCCTAGGAGGCAGGGGTCACCTGCTCTCCAGTACCACCCACACTGCATTCTATACTTCTTACAGCTCTCCCACTTGGGCCAAGGCACAAGAACTAATGTATATGAGGGCCTGCTAAGAGTGGGGGGTCCTGGTGAGGGCACAGCAGACAGTGGATGTCCCGCTGAGCCTGGTGGGGGTAGTGGGCAGCAGCTTCGAGTGGTGCTCAAAGTCCTTGACCCCGGTCACCGTGCTATCGCCTTGGTAAGTGTGCAAGGCTGACCCTGAGGTATCTGGAGAGGACAATTGGGAGGGCCAGGGTGTGTCTGCAGACCTGATCTGCCCTGTCTCCACAGGCCTTCTATGAGACTGCTAGCCTCATGAGCCAGGTGTCACACATGCACCTGGCTTTCCTGCATGGTGTTTGCGTTCGTGGCTCAGAGAGTGAGTGCACCCCATCCACAGCTGGGTTTGCATGCCCTTCCCCCTCCCCAGCTCATCACTTTGTTTTTTTAATGGCACTGGAGATGGAACCTAGGATCAGCATAGGTAAACACTCAAACCACAAGTGACACCCCCAGCCCCTTACTATGGTGTTCCAAGCAGGGGCTCCTCCCCTGATACATCCCCAGGCCCTCTGTGGGGCCTCTGCCTTCAAGCCACACCCCAGCCATTTGAGCATCAGTCTCTCCTGTGGCCCTGAGACCAGACCTGGACCTATAGCACACGCCCACTCCTCACTGAATACCAGCCCTGGGCTTACATCTTAATACTGAACCAAACTCTGAGCCTCCCCCTTACCTTCACTCCTTGCTCTACCTACTCTGCCCTGTGTGCTCCATCTGAGTCTCCATTCTTCCCAGAATTCCTTCTTGCATGCATCATACATCCTCTAATCTCTTAGGCACAGTGGCCCCAGGCAGGTCCCAGCCCTGCTGTATCCTCAGTCACCCTGTGTGTCCGCCCTGCTTAGTTAGACCTCTATTCCTCTCTGCCTGTCCTCTAAACTTCTTGTGCAGGCTGACCCCAGTGTGAGCACCCTGTGTGCTGTGACTGCAATGCCCCCGTGTATGCCTCTTGACCCTGTATTCCAACCTGTGCCTGGCCCACTCCTCTACCTCGATGTCACCTCTGCCCCCTGCTCCACATCAGCTCCCCCCCCCCACCCACACACACAATCCTTTCCAGTTCCTGCGCTCCATCTTGTCCTTGCTCCATGCCTAGAGACCCCATTCCACTTCTGCCTCTGCTCCTTTCTCCTCTGTTCTCAAAGGACCACCCCCATCCAAACTCAGCGCACCGCCACCATCTGCCCTGGTCCTGGAGAGAGCCAGGTGGCTGCCCCTCTAGCAGTTATATCTTTGCAGATATCATCGTGACAGAATTCGTAGAACATGGTCCCCTGGATGTGTGGTTACGGCGACAGAGGGGCCGAGTGCCCATGACCTGGAAGATGGCCGTGGCTCAGCAGCTGGCCAGTGCCCTTAGCTACCTGGTATGCTGACTCGAGGGGCCACTTGTCCTGCAGAAAATGGGATATGGGTGAAGCCAGGAATGGTGACATGGTGACACATACCTACCAGCACAGCACTCAGGAGTTGAGGTTGGAAGATTCAGAATTTAGTTATTCTCAGTTATATAGTGAGTTTGGGAATAGCCTGGGCTATACATTACCCTGTTGCAAGCATTAAAATGGGGTCTGGGGCTGTAGCTAAGTTATTAGAGCACCTGCCAAGCATGGACAAAGCCTGGAGTCCATCCCCAGCTCTGTATAAACAGGGTGTGATGTATACCTACAGCCTTAGCACTGGAGAGGTAGAGGCAAGAGGGTCTAGATTAGGGCTATCCTCTACAGGAAGATCTAGATCAGGGCCATCCTCTACTAAGTAGTAAGTTTTGTGTGTGTGTGTCTGTGTGTCTGCGGGCACACATGGGTCAGACCCTGGATGTCTTCCTCAGTTGCTGACTTGACTTCTTCGGATAGCTAGGCTGACTAGCCTCAGCCTGTGGGCCCCAGGGGTGCTCCTGACTCCACCTCCCCAGCTCTAGGATTACAGATGCTGCCACATCTGGCCTAACACACAGGGGCTGAGGCTTGGATTTGGGTCTTTACATTTAAATAGCCGTCACTTTACCCACTGAACCACATCCTCAGCCCCCATACAGCAAGTTTCAGGCCAGCCTGGGCTACATGGGACCATTTTTCAAAATAACAAAAGTATATAGTGTGTTTAGACCAATACAGACTCTCCTGTTACTACTGTAGGTATCCCCATGTGAGATGCCTGCCACAGTACATCTTTCACGTATAAATGTCATGAAAATCATGTAAAATTTCATTACTTTTTTTGTCTTGTCTTTTGAGGCATGGTCTCACTGTATAGTTTTGACTGGTCTGGGACTTGCTGTGTATTCCAAGCTGTCCTTGAACTCTCGGAGATCTACTTGGCTCTGCTTCTGGAGAGAACAGGAGCACACTCATTCCTGAGTGTCAGTTTTGATCATGGCTCAGTCTGAAGGTGACCTGTGTTTAAAGAGGGCTAACTGTGCTTAAAACAGTAACACAATAGAGTAGGAGGCCGTAGGAATTGAGCAGGTGGATCTGGAGAGATAGCGGTAAATGCTTGCTGTCCTGCCGTGAGTCATATCCCTCTCGGCCCACACTGAAAGCCTGTATCCCTAGCACTGGAGAGGCAAAGACAGGAGGTTCCCTGCCTGGATAGTTTCCCCAATCAGTGAGCTCCCGATTCAATGTGAGACCTTGTCTCAAAAAAATAAGGTGAGAAGACCCCTAGCATCCATCCCTAACCGCCACGCGCATGCACACAAAGCATTATATAGCAAACATATAACACGAACGAATCAAGGGTCAGATGGGTTGCTTGATGTGGAGGTAAGGCACAGTTACAGCTTGAGAATGAGGTAGAATTTGAAACAGATGGGTGGGGCTGGCCTCACCTGACAGAGGAGAGGAAGGATTGCTGTGAAGAAATCTTGGGAAGATTATTTTCCGGTGTGTGATCGGGAGCCGCCTGTGTATAGGAGTGTGCCTTGTGTGTGTTTGGGATCCACAGTGGGTCTTCTGGCTTTTTGTTCCTGGCCAAGAACCTTGGCTGCCAGCGTGACCTTGTCCTGAAAACCAGCACTGTCATTTGACAGCTGTCATTCTTACATGGCTATCCCTCTGGGGAGGATCCTTATAGGGTGGGGCTGGTGGATGGGATCTGAGTCATGGAAACCATGCACTTTTCTCTCCTCTGCTACTCCAGGAGGACAAGAATCTGGTTCATGGGAACGTATGTGGCCGGAACATCCTGCTGGCCCGCCTAGGATTGGAGGAGGGTACCAACCCCTTCATCAAGCTCAGTGATCCTGGTGTGGGCCAAGGTGCCCTCTCCAGAGAAGGTGAGTTCTGGAGTGGGGCTGGGCATAGGGATGGCCTTTCTCTGTCCTTTCCACCATTGCTGATCTGTGATCTGTGTTCTCAGAGCGGGTGGAGCGCATCCCCTGGACAGCTCCTGAGTGCCTGTCCGGAGGGGCCAGTAGCTTGGGTACCGCTACAGACATGTGGGGCTTTGGTGCCACCCTTCTTGAGATCTGCTTTGATGGGGAGGCACCCCTGCAGGGTCGTGGTCCCTCCGAGGTATGTCCTGAGGATTTCTATGGGTTTTGGAGGATTCTTGGGTCTCTCTAAGTGGCTGAAAAGGGTTCATAAAGAAGAGTTCATCAAATGCAGAATCTGGCTCATGAGCCAGGACAGGAAGCACTGCCTTGATTCCAGACACAGCTTTTGCTGGCCGAGGGGCATTAAAGCAGCTGAGCTGAGGACAGGGAGTAGCTTGGGAGTTACCTGCTCTACCTCTGCAGAGCCAGTTCCTGACTCTATAGTCTTTACCAAGCTTAAGCCGCTTCCTCTGTAAAATGGGCATAAAAAGACCAGATACTGGTGTGAGCTATCCCTGGTGCTGTGGTCTGAGCTAACTCTGTTGCTTGCTGTGCCTTTGGGGGAAGATGTGGGGTGGAAGGGGGCACTCACTTGCTGGCGCTATCATCCCCACAGAAAGAACGGTTCTACACAAAGAAGCATCAGCTGCCTGAGCCCTCATGCCCAGAACTGGCCACACTCACCCGCCAGTGCCTGACCTATGAACCAGCACAGCGGCCCTCGTTCCGCACCATTTTGCGGGACCTCACAAGGCTGCAGCCACAGAGTGAGCCAGGGCCCTGGGAGGTGAGGGTGCGGCTGGGGGGGGGGTCCCTGCTGATGCAGGGCTGTACATCTAAGGTCTCTCACTGGGGCTTGGTACATGGTAGTTCCATATTCACTAGGGTCTCCAAATGAGAGGAGTGCCAGGGATCAGGCACCGGGCATGGGAAACTGTGGGGGGAAGAGCCAGGGTCTAACTGCAGGCTTTGGCTCTCCCAGATCTAGTGGGTACTTCGGCTGTGAACTCAGACTCACCGGCGTCAGACCCCACTGTTTTTCACAAGCGTTATTTGAAAAAAATCCGGGATTTGGGCGAGGTGAGGCCATGCCTGGAGAGTGGGTGTAGGAATGGGTAGCTGGGGTGTAGGATGGAGATGTAGGGGAGGGGCTTGAAGATTTGGAGGGAGAGCTGGGTTTGGGGCTTAGATGCTAAAGAATGGAGCCTGCAGGGCTGGGCTGTATCTGGAGACCTGGGCCAGTTTGGAGAGCTGCAGTGGTGTCTGGAGAGCTGTGGAAGTGCCTGAGACTGAGGGGCAGGGCCACTCCGGAGCAATCTGGGGCTTAAGGACCTCTTAAGAATAGTTTTGAGGGCCAGGCATGATTCTTTGTACTGACAATCAGGAGGCAGAGTCAAGTGCATCTCTGAGTTTGAGGCTACTTTGGTCTGCATATCAAGTTCCAAGCTAGCTCATGGTACATAGTGAGAGTCTCAAAACAAAAACAAAACACTATAGTTTTCAGACGGGGCGGGGGAGGGGGAGAGGTAAAGATTCCTCAGATTTGAAAGAAGGCCTAGGGAATTGGAAAAATACCTAAGTACCAAGATATTGTTCAACATGGAGTCAGTAGGCCCTAGCAAGCCCTGTGGCCTCATATGACTCTCCTGCCCACTTCTGCAAGGGTCACTTTGGCAAGGTCAGCCTGTATTGCTACGATCCAACTAATGACGGCACTGGCGAGATGGTGGCCGTGAAAGCCCTGAAGGAGGGATGTGGTCCCCAGCTCCGCTCGGGCTGGCAGCGGGAGATTGAAATCCTGCGGACGCTCTACCATGAACACATTGTCAAGTACAAAGGCTGCTGTGAGGACCAAGGTGTGCACGGTGGCCCGCAGCGGTGTGAGCAACTGAAGATCTCTATACTAGCTGTGGGGGTGTGACTGGGCAGCCTTCTCAGTTGGGGGTGTTACCTTTGGGGTGTAGGATGAACACTAGCACAGCAACAGGGTTCCACATGGGTCCATAGGACATAGACCTGTCCTAGCATGGGTGGGTCATGATCTTTTCTCCATACATGGGAGGGAGCTGTGCAGGGCTCTGGGCTCCAGGATCCAGAGACTCCGACCCCTCCTGCAGCATCCCCTTTGGTCTCTGCCTCACAGGAGAGAAGTCTGTACACCTGGTCATGGAATATGTCCCTCTGGGCAGCCTCCGAGACTACCTGCCGAGGCACAGCGTAGGGCTGGCCCAGCTCCTGCTGTTTGCCCAGCAGATCTGCGAGGTGGGACAGCTGCGCCCCTCCTCCTAGAACAGAACACTTCTGCTGCTGCAGATTTATTGGGTCTGATGGGCTCTATTCCTGTCCCTGTTCTTGTCCTTGGACTGGATTCCTTTCCCTCTCTTTTGTGTCCTACAGCCCCATAGGCCTCACCCTTAACCCCTACAGTTTCCTTAGGACTGGACCCACTCACCTTTTTTAGCCCCTCCCATTGAACCCGAGGAGCCATTTCCTGCCCGCCCCCTATCCTCTGTTTAGCCTACCTCCCCTGGCCTAGTAGCTGCAAGCCCTACCTGAAATCCGGTGGAGGTCTACCTTTTTCTAGAACCAGCCATCTCTGCTTGGTTCCACCCACCAAGTCCCACCTCTCTGGTCAGTCTCTGTCCAGCCTAGCTTGGCTCTGAAAGCCCCACTCCTAACCTTGTAGAGCAGTGGTTCTCAACCTTCCTAATGCTGCGATCCTTTAATACAGTGCTTCGTGTTCTGGTAACCCCCAACCATAACATGATTTTCATTGCTACTTCATAACTTTAATTTTGCTACTGTTACGAACTGCAAATAACTGATAAGCAGGATATCTGATACTCGATCCGATCCGTCGTGAAAGGCTCACTGGACCCAGGGGTCATGCCACACAGAGAACCACTGTGGTAGAGATTTGCACATTCCTCCCTCTGACCCTACCCACAAAGCCCTGTCCCTTGCAACTCCTCCTGCTGTCTAGCTTTGCCGCCTTAGCTCCAAGCCCTGCTCTGGCTCTTCCTTTTGCGTGCTCAGGCTGGGGCTGAGCCTGACTCGCTCTGCCCCACCCAGGGCATGGCCTACTTGCATGCGCAGCACTACATTCACCGAGACCTCGCTGCGCGCAACGTGCTGCTGGACAACGACAGGCTGGTCAAGATTGGAGACTTTGGCCTAGCCAAGGCTGTACCTGAAGGCCACGAGTACTACCGAGTGCGCGAGGACGGGGACAGCCCAGTGTTCTGGTGATCAGGAGCTGGCATTTTCTGATGGGGCAGAAGACAATTGGGCGGGACTTAGAAATGAAACGGGTGTGGCTAAAGCCCAATGGGCGGGGCTTAAGGACGAAAGGGACTTGACTGAAGCCCACTAAGCCAGTTTGACTTGGCTTAGTAGGTCTGTAACCCCTTAGGTTGTGCCCTGAAGGGTGAGGTCTCAACTGGAACTCAGGGATCCTTTCACCTGCCTGTGAACTCCAAGTCCAGTCAGCCAGTCCTGAGCCTCTTCTGTTTCCAGGTATGCCCCAGAATGCCTGAAGGAGTGCAAATTTTACTATGCATCTGATGTCTGGTCCTTCGGGGTAACCCTGTATGAGCTGTTGACATACTGTGACTCTACGCAGAGTCCTCCCTCGGTGAGTGACAGACACCCGACTCTACCTTTGGGTTTGCTAGAGAGCTTTTCTAGAAAAGCAAGCATTTAAAGTTCAGTCCCCCCAACACTGGCAGGCTCTTGAGGGGGGGATGCGTTTCAAGACAGGATTTTTCTGTGTTGCCCTGGCTGTCCTGGAACTCACTCTGTAGGCCAGGCTGGCCTCCAACTCAAGAGATCTGCCTGCCTCTACTGGGCATTGAAGTATTGGGATTAAAGGCGTGTGCCACCACCGTTACCAATGGCAGGCTCTTCACCAGCCTGTCTGCCCAGCCCTGCCTGATCTGTAAAGGCATCACTTGGCAGTGTGGGAAGCTATTTTGTTTCCGTGGCGTTTATTTGAATGGTTCTTTCCCACCCATTTCTTGTGTGTTGGTGTGTGTGCACATCACACATGGGGGCTGGGGGTAGGGTGGCACTAGATGTATGAAGTGAGGACATGACCACTTCAGAAACAGCCAGTTGTGAGCTGCTATGGGGTGCTGGGAATTGAACTCAGTTTCCTGCAAAAGCAACAAATACTCTTCAACCACCAAGCCTGCTCCCCCTGCAGGGGAGTTTGTAACTGAAATACTCAAAATGCACACAGGCAGAAATGCTGGTGTTTATTGTGCTATGTTCAGACCCCATGTGAGTGAGACCTCTGGTGTTGCCAGGAGCCAGTGTCTCCAGCTCCATCCCACATTCACTGAGGTGCTGTCTGAAGCTGGCTGCCCTACACACAGTGACCCATCCTGCTGTCACTTGACATCCCTCAGCCACAGAGACCAAGGGATCCTCTCTTTCTGCTCTAAATTCCTGTGACTTTTTCTGATAGGCCCAACCTATCCATGTGTCCATCTCACAGTGAATCACTGAAAGGTTTTGGGCCACAGTGGTTGGTTAGCCGAGAGCTAGGGGGAGGAGCCAGGAGAGCATTAGCCCCAAAGACAGCATTTCTCCTCAGCTCCGCAGGTCAAGGCAGGAGAATCCCTTGAGCCTAACAGTTGAAGACCAGCCTGCAGCAAGATCATTATCTCAGGAAGTAGATTTTAACGGGGGCTAAAGCTGAGACTCTGTGGGTCGAGCACTGGCTGGTGTGGGTGAAGCCCTGGGTTCGTCCCCAGCCTAGCTTAAAATGGGCATGCCCACCTAAGACCCTGTCTTAAAACAGTGTCAGGGCTGGGGACATGGCTCAGTAGTTAAGCACTTGCTCTGCAAGCATGAGGACATAAGTTTAAGTCCCCAAAACTCACTTGAATGTCAGATGGGCGTGTTGACCTGCTTTAAATCCTGCCTAGGACGGCAGAGATGGGACTCCTAGAGCAAGCTTTCTAGCCAGACTAGTCAAATCAGGGAGCTCTGGGTTTGATTGAGAGACCTTGCCTCAGTGGATAAGGTGGAAGATAAGATCTAGCATGATTCCTGAGCTCAAGCTCATATCTCCATAGTAATGTTAGAAATTCATATTAATGTATGTGCTAGAGCACATGGGCCATACACATGTGCCCACACACATGCAGCATACATGCACATGATCTGAGCATGGCTGTATGAGTGTGCAACATATAACCTTAGAACTGTGGGAGGGAGACAGAATCTAGACCCTGTCTCAAAGGACTAGACAGACAGGGATAGAGTGGGGCAGCATTGTCATCCTCTGGCCTTCCCATGCATGTGCATACTGCATGTGCACAGATACACACACTAGGAAGCACGGGTTACTGGTTCACAGCTTGTGCAAATAGTTGCTGTCGATTGTGCTTTAGAAATTCATTGAGCTCATCGGCCTCAGCCAGGGCCAGATGACCGTGCTGAGGCTCACAGAGTTGCTGGAACGAGGAGAGAGGCTGCCTCGGCCTGACAGATGCCCCTGTGAGGTGAGTCTACCGACAGATGTTCCCCATCCCCACCCTTAAGACACAAGGTGAATGGCTCCATGGACCCATTTCTCCCACAGATCTATCACCTCATGAAGAACTGCTGGGAGTCAGAGGCCTCCTTCCGCCCCAGCTTCCAGAATCTTGTGCCCATCCTCAAGACAGCACAGGAGAAGTACCAAGGCCAGGTGCCTTCAGTGTTCAGCGTGTGCTGACAAAGGCATGGGGGGTGGCTCCACACAGAGGCCTCCACACAGCCTATACTGTACTCTGCCTTGAAACCCCACCTGTGGACTAAGTTTCCTTCCTTGGCCCTGAGCCTGGCCGTGACCCAAACAGACCTTGGATGTGCAAAGGGGCCAGTTAGGAATTCCTGAGTCTTTGCATTTTGGGCCCATCCATCTTTTCACAGATGAGACCCATTGTCTTCTTTAGCTGGGAAGAAACTGCTTTGCTGGGGGCCCGAGGACTTTGGGGGTCCATCTTCAGCAGCAAGATGTGTAGATAGAATGAGACTTCAAAAGAAGCTGTAACATTTCTGATCACCCCTAAACCACCAGCCACGCTGGAGTGTGCCGGGGAGAGCCTGTGCTTAGCACGGGCTCCCTAGTTGGTTAAGCCATCGACTAAATCAGTTCCTGGTATACAGAAAGCACTCAGTAGCTTCTTGTTAGAGGCTGGGGAGATGGCTTGGTCAGTGAAAGACAAACAGAAGTGCTTGCTTTGCAAGCACAAGGCTGTGAGTTCAATCCCCAGAACCCATGTTAGCTCTGTGTGGTGGGACATGCTTGTCACCTCAGTCCTGGAGAAATGGAGATGGGCAGCTTTGTGGGGCTCACTGGCAAGAATCCTAGTCTATTCAGTGACACTCAGGCCAACTAGAGTCCCTGCTTCAAAACAGAATGCTGCAGCAGTGCCTTGGAAGATACCCAGAGTTGTCCTCTGACTTCTGCACAGATGTGTGCACACACACCTGCACATAAATTTGCATATATACACAGGAAGGCCATTTGTCACATACGTAGGACTCTGCCAATTTTACCCTTTCCTTCCTGTGTAACCTCAGGAAAATGTCTTGACCTCTCTGGGCCTCCCATCTCAGCTATGGGGATGGTCAGGGCTTCTACCTCATAGGGCGGATGATGAGTGGCATTCCCATTGCTCTGGAGACACAGAGAAGAGTTAATAAAGTTTATGATCATTGCTATTCTGGTGTTTTCCTACATTTTGGGTGAAGGGGTGAGATTCAGATCAGTTCTAGGAACATGGGCATTTGTGAGAGGCGGGGAAATAGGCGTCTCTCCAAGGATTTCTAAAGACTTCACATAGGCCGGCCATGGGGCCGGCATGTTCTTCATTCTACCAGGCAGCGATGGGCTAGGGGCGAGGCTCAGAGATACAGCTCCTAGCACATCATACAAGGCCCTTGATTCCATCCCAAGGATCATAAGTGAATTAAAACATCAATACTGAGATCTTAAGCCACATAAAGTCCAAAGGGTTACTTTCTAATGCTGGTGAATCAAACTCCTGATGCTGTCATGGGCAAGCTTGCTGTTTAATGAGATACCGTGTCACCATCAGTGCAGATTCTGTCATTATTGCTTTGAACTCGTCGCTCTCCCACCTCGGCGTCCCAGGCTCTGGAAGACAAGTTCATGCCACCAAGCCCATCACTTGTTTAGAACATCAAAGCCAGCATGGTCTACAGAGGGACTTTCAGGACAGCCAGGGCTACACAAAGAAAGCCTAGCTTGAAAGAAAAAACTTTTTTTTTTTTTTTTTGAGACAGGGTTTCTCTGTAGCCCGGGCTGTCCTGGAACTCACTCGGTAGACCAGGCTGGCCTCGAACTCAGAAATCTGCCTGCCTCTGCCTCCCAAGTGCTGGGATTAAAGGCGTGTGCCACCACCACCCAGCTTCCTTGCCATTTTAAACCTTCCCGATTCTTGGTTCCACTAGTTTCTTTTTTTCCAATTGCAACATATTTATTGTTGAAACCAAGGTGTGTAGTAGATTTGTCTATAGGTCAGCTATGTGTCAGAGTTAAACTGCATTCTTCTGTCCACCAAACATGATAGAACATTCACGTGTCTGATTCACTTATTTCTGGATGGTTCCTTCCACAGGGAACACCCAAAACTTACTTGGTTTTTCTTTAAAAAGTCTTTAAAGTTTAATTTATTTTTATTTTACATATGAGTGTTTTGCCTGCCTGCATTGTACCTGAGTGGAACTCGAGTTGGAGACAGTCATGACCTGCCGTCCTTGCAGGTGCTGGGACTCTAACTGCATCCTCCAGGAGAACAGCCTGTGCTGTTGACTGCAGAGTCAGCTTTCCAGCCCTCTGTGCATGTGTGCATGTGTGCATGTGCTGCCAGTGTTTCTACGACAATGTTGGGTAATCCTAACTCTTTACCTTGTTGGAGGTAGGGGACAGGATTTCTTTTCTTTTTTAAGATAAGGTTCTTCTATGTAGCCCTGACTATCTTGGAACTCACTATGTATTATGTAGACCCGGCTGTCCTGGAACTCAAGGAGATGCAGCTGTCTCTGCTTCCTGAGCACTGGGATCAAAGGTTCGCAGGCCATCATGCCTGGCCTAAGACTGCGTCTCTTGGTCAGTGCTGTGTTCTCAGCTCTAGCCAGCTAGTGGCTGTCTCCTGTCTCCCTGCTTTCAGTTCTCTTTTTTTCTTATTTCTCTCTTTTGAAACAGGCTGTATCTTTGTAGCCAGGGGTGAGCCTACAACTCACAATCCCAGCCTTTTTGCCGCTCCCCTCCAAATTCTGGGATTGCATATATACGCCACTACTCCTGACTCATGGTTTTTATTAGTGATGTAGGCAGTTGTTCAGATCCCACACAGAAGCAGGGTCCCTTGCTGTGCAATGCCTTACAGCACAGGCAAGGGCTGTACCACCAAGCTACTGCAGCCACTGAGAATTCCAGGTTTTCTTGTTTTTGTTTTCCACAACAGGGTCTCATGTAGCCAAGGCTAGGTTGGAAATTTGTGTCTAGTGATTTTTTTTTTAAGTACTTTTGAGACAGGGCCTCGACTATGATGCCCTGGCTGGCCTGGGGTCCACTACGTAGAACTGGTTGACCTTGAACTCACAAAACCCCTGCTTCTACCTTCCAAGTGCCGAAATTAAAGGTGTGTAACCAGCACACCTGGTCCTGTCTTTGAACTTCTCACCCTCCTGCTTCTACCTCCTAAAAGCTGAGATTACAAGGGTGAGTCCTCCAACCACAGTGTGGATTTGATTCAAATTTTCCTTTTTAAATATTTGCACTGAGAAAGAAGAAAAAAAAATTTAGCCGTGCAGTGGTGGCGCACGCCTTTAATCCCAGCACTTGGGAGGCAGAGGCAGGTGGATTTCTGAGTCCGAGGCCAGCCTGGTCTACAGAGTGAGTTCCAGGACAGCCAGGGCTACACAGAGAAACCCTGTCTTGAAAAACAAACAAACAAACAAAGTTGAAAAAAAATTTGCACTGGGGGCCAGGAAGGGGACGGCAGCATCGGGATGTTAATAAACAAAATAATTAACTAAAAAAGTGCCCTGGGAGCCAGGCCGTGGTGGCACACACCTTTAATCCCAGCACTTGAGAGGCAAAGGCAGATGGATCTTTATGTGATGAAGGCCAGCCTGATCTACAGAGCAAGTTCTAAGACAGCCAGGGCTACACAGAGAAACCTCATTTCAAAAACAAAACAAAAAATTTGCATGGATTTTATAGTGTAGTGCTTACTATGTCTGCTTCACACAGAAGCTCCAGGGTCTCAGCCAGTGGACAGACACAGCAGTAACTAAGAGACACTATCTTTCTGGGCATGGTGGCACATACCTTTAGACTTAGCGCTTGTGGTAGCAGAGGTTGAACTCTGGGGCAGCAGCTGTAATTAGTTTTCCTGGGGACAATAAGTTATCTCTCCACTGGTGAAATGAGCCATTTCAAGCCAGATTAAATATAGCAGGTTTATTGGGAAGCTGCTCTAGGGCATGCGAGTTCACTGGCCCCGAGGAGGGACGTCACCCTGGGAAAGGAGATAGGAGAGGGAAAAGAAAAAGCAAGCTCATGCAGAGAGAGAAGACCAAGGGAAAGAGAAAAGGAGAGAGCCGGGAGACCAAAATGTCCAGCTTATATAGGAAGGAGCCTCCTCGGGAACCCAATCCCCAGGCTGGAAAGTTCAAGGTCGGGGCAGGGTCTGCCAGGTAGGGACTGAGGGATGCTGGGAGAACCTGGAGGCCAGGTCTGCTTTGGTATGTAAAATATACACCTCAGTCCCTTGTTTAAAACCAAACATTCTAGCCTTTTGTTGCTAATAAATGAATGAGACCACTTAATCATCTATGACTGCTTCCCGCTGATGTTGGGGTGTCATCCATAATGACAGGTGGGCAAAAGGCTGGAATGCTGGCCACGTCCAGGAAGAGCTGGTTGCTTCACTGCTGTCCAGGTTGTGGGACCGTGTGTGGGTAGGAGTATGCAGACCCTGTTTGAAGACCCAGTTGAAGCAGTCTGTGAGGGTGGGTAGAGCACTTGTGGGTAACTGTTTTGCCGCTTTAGAAGCAGCTGTTGGGATACAGGTTCTGAGGAAATATCTGTTAGGGACAGAAGATAGGGTCAAGGAGTTTCGGGAGAAAAACTTTTTCTTAGGTGTACATTTGAATCTTTTAGGCCCGTGGTCTTGTTAGTTGGAGGAGGGGTGTGAGGGTCTCAGGATCAGATAAAGGGAAATAGATCTCTCCCTCAAGAATAGGCAGATGGGAAGGGAAACAGGCTGTTGACTGACAGTATTTATCTGGAGTCCATTGGGTTGTGGTAAGTGGATTTCAGTGGATTCCCTGAAGCTTACAAGAATCTTTTTAGGTTTACAAAAAGATAAATCCTTCATAACTTGCATCTACTAACTCGAAACACCTTCCCAGACCCTTGAAACACTGTCTTAGAAGCTTTCATATCTTCAGACCTTACAGGGGCCACACAGGCATGTGCGAATTTTACATGGATTCAGGGAACTGAATTCAAGTCCTCACCCTTGTAAGGCAAGTGCTTTAGAGACTGAGCCATCCCAGCCTAAGGAGCAGTTATGTTTTCAGGGCGGGGAGTGGACCCCCACTCTACCACTGAGCTTCATGTCCAGTCCCCGAATCTCTGGTTTTAACAGCTCAAGTCTTCCGCTGCCCCTCATGCTGGTGTCTAGGGGGTCAGTCTTGAGCGCCTTCGTAGAGGTCCCTGCACTCACGGATAGCACTAGGGAAATCAGGAATGTTGAACCCACAGCTTTGTATTTTCAAAGAAAAAGATGTATTACCTGTTACCTGTTTTCTGTCCAGAGTCCTGGGAATGGAGGTGGCTGATACCCTGGTGGTCCTTGCACTGTCTGTAGGGCCAGGCCACACACAGGTCTCCTAAGTTCCTACAGCCAGGACTGGAGGTGGCTGATAGGTCAGATGACCTCTACATTATCTGTATGACAGAGATCACACCAGGTCCTCCCCGAGGCCCTTGTCCTAACACATGTAGCCAGCCTATCTTTAGAACCCATCTTCATGGAAGAAGTGACAAGTACTTTGAGAAGAGTTTCAATGTCATTATGTCTCCTTGTCCCCACAGGATTTTGTTAAACCAGAAGACATTTCCATATTGTACTGTACTTTAAAATGCCTAAAATAAACTGCCTGCTGTCAGACTCTAGAAGTTTGAACCAAGACCAGCTAGTGAGTCATATTGAACTGGATTTTCTTCCTGCCTTGTGCAGATCATGGCTCATTACTCTGCCAGCCCTGTTGCTGCAAAGACCTCTACAATTTGTGGGCCACCGAGAAGACTCAGCAGGTAAAGGTGCTTACAGCCAAGCCTGACAGTCTAAGCCTGATCCCCAGGATAGATCCGCATGGTGGAAGGAGAAAACCAAATTCTGCAAAATTGCCTCTGATGCTCATACACACTCCACCCCCACCCACACATACATAATGGCCAAGTAAACGGAGTTATAAAAATTAAAGCTATGTGTGGCGCATCTCCTTAATCTTAGCACTCGGGAGGCTAAGGCAAGTGGATTCCTGTAAGTTCAAGGCCAGCTTCATGATTATAGTGGGTTCTAGGCAAGTCAGGGATACACAATGAAGCCTTGTCTCAAAAATAAAATAAAGCCAGGCACGGTGGTACGTGCCTTAATCTCAATACATAGGAGGCTAAGACA